ATTTCCATTCACTCAATTCCAATATCACCCATACGATCACCTCGCTCTCTTTCTCTCTTACAAAGCGAACAAAGACAAAAAAAAAATGGAGGAAACCACCCTTCTATTTTAGTTTCTCTTAAGGTTCTTCTTCTTCTTTTGTCTTTTACATTCTTACAGTACATGGGTCATTTTCTGTTTCGATAAATTTGATGTCTTTTTTGATATAGAAAGGTTGTTTTTTTATTATTATTTTCCTATTCAATTATATGTATGCATGCACGTCCCATGCACGTCAGTTTTTTTCTTTTGATTTCTTTGTAAAGTGACCATTAATTGTTGTAAAGTAAGTGATCATTAAGTGGCCAATTTGTTGAAATTAATGACTAAACTTTAGGTGATTGAAAGTTGACAACAATAAAGATTCATATATGGCAATAATAATAATTCATAGTTGACATTAATTTAGTCAATGTACTTTAAGGTATTTACAAGATTAATCATTAAGTTTTAACTATAAATACCCTAACTCATTTGTTTCAAAATCATTCCAAATTATTCTAGCTTTCTCTCAATACTAGAGAATTTAGAGAGTTTTCTTGAGAGTTGTTTTCTCATTTTTATCAAGAGATAATTGTCATTGTTTTCTCCTTGTTAGATCAAGAAAAGTTCCACGTAAATTTTATGTCTTATTTATCTTCATTTTTATTTTCTCAAATTATCAATTGTAATTTTGTTCGATCCGATAGTCATATTCCGCAACAATTTCTGCATTTGTTGGATCTTTTGTTTTATTGAATTTTCATTGTCTTTAAGTGTTATGCAATCTGAACGTAAATAATCTTTGATTTGGTGTGTGAGTAGGGGTTGGAATTTGGTGTGAAAAAACAAGGCGAACCATGTCTAGTTATCAAGGTGTGCTTGTTTCTGATCAATGGCTTCAAAGCCAGTTCACTCAAGTCGAGCTACGAACCCTCAAATCCAAGGTAACCTTTTCTTTTCCTTTCTTCTTCATCTTCTTCTTTGATTCTTTTCATAATTGGTTTGTATGGAAGTGAAATAATGCATCATGTTCTAAAAGATTACAATTTTGATTCCTAATTCTTCAAAGTACGATTTTTTTCGTTTGCAATAACAATTGTAGGTTACCTTATTGTACAAGTTTATATGGTGTATTGGAAATTCTTGTTTGACATGGAACTTGGATTGTTTTATTGTTGCATTTAGTTTTTCTCTGCGAGGACTCAACAAGGTCGTGTTACTCTGGCCGAGCTGCCGCCAGTTTTAGCCATTTTGAAAGCTTTCAGTGAAATGTTCAATGAGGATGAGATTAAGACTATCTTGGAAGAGACGCACGGTGACATGGGCGAAGAAATTGATTTCGAGGCCTTTCTTCGGGTAAGTCTTTTAAGTATAGCATCTGATGTACTTTTCTTGTATGCCATTGCTAATTATTCAATATATGAAATGTTGTCAATTAATGTTTCCTGATGTTTGTGATTTGATCATACGATTTTCTCCTTGTATCTTGCTTAGAGGCAATGATTGGATTTGGTGAATTGGCAGGCTTATTTAACTTTGCAAGGTCGTGCAATCGAAAAATCAGGCAGTACTAGATCTTCATTTATCAAGTCAACCACAACCACTTTTCACCATGCTATTAATGAATCCGAGAAGGCTTCTTATGTGAAACATATCAATAACTATCTGGCAGAGGATAAATTCTTGAAAGATATTCTTCCAATTGATCCAGCCACAGATGCTTTATTTGAGCTTGCTAAAGATGGAGTTCTTCTCTGGTTGGTTCGATGGACCTACTTGACTTTGCTATAGTCCTTATCAAATCATGATTTGATGTTTTTAGTTGCTTTCATGCAGCAAGCTTATCAATATAGCTGTTCCTGGGACCATAGACGAGCGAGCTATTAACACAAAAAAGGTTCTTAATCCCTGGGAGAGGAATGAGAATCACACTCTTTGTCTTAATTCTGCAAAAGCTATCGGTTGCACCGTGGTTAATATCGGCACACAAGACCTTGTTGAAGGAAGAGTAAGTGATGCTCCTTTTCTAGTACCGATTTAGGTGTCATGCTTGCTTTTTAATATAACTTGTACAATATTTTAACTTATCCAATCTTCTTCCCTCCCAGCCTCATCTGGTACTTGGATTGATTTCTCAAATTATTAAGGTATTCAGCTGAAACTTCTTTTAAACTTTGTATTTGTAATTGTCGAATCACAGAAGCCATACTGATCGTATCTGTTTCCTTAAACCATCAATGTTTCAAGGGATACATTTTTGTTGTTACATTGCTAGTATTGTTTACATGGTTGTGACTTCAGATTCAACTACTAGCTGATCTCAATCTGAAGAAAACTCCTCAACTTGTGGAACTGGTGGATAGCAGCAAGGTTGGAGAATGTTAATTTGTTATTCTTTGTGACGATATCAGATTCCGGATAATATTCGTTTTTCAGGTTGGAAACAACTTCTGTTAACCTTTTGTATAAATTTTGTAGGTGGAGGAGCTTAGGAGTTTAGGACCTGAAAAGGTGTTACTGAAATGGATGAATTTTCATTTGAAGAAAGCTGGATATCAAAAGCAAGTTACAAACTTCTCTACAGATTTGAAGGTGGGAAAACTCACTGATTTTGATTAATTCTACTTGTGGAATGCCAATTTTATATACAAAAATGTATTTATGATCATGGTTTCAGTGTTGTATTAATCTTTAGGTTTCGGCCTTAAGTTCCATGAACTGGTGAAACAAATGCAGGGTGTTTAAATGTCTCGGTCTCTCAAACTTTAGAGCTCCTCCTATGGAAAAGGATTTGCCTGTCTATACCATTTGCAGTTTTCTAGTGTGAATGATGTATCATCAACCTATTTATTTGCAGGATGGAGAGGCATATGCACATCTGCTTAACGCACTTGCTCCCGAACACAGTACGCGTGAAACGTTGGAGACACAGGATCCGACAGAAAGAGCAAACAAAGTTCTTGAGATGGCAGAAAAATTGGGTTGCAAAAGATATCTCACTCCTACTGATATTGTTGAGGGCTCTGCAAATCTCAACCTTGCATTCGTTGCACAAATATTCCAGAACAGGTGAGAAAAAATGTTTTCTTTTCCCTATGTCTGAACTAAGTTTCCATTCTCATTTATATTAGCTTGTCCCTGTTTATTTTCATTTTCCTCAACTACATTTTCTATTATCACCTGGTGATCTCATTAATTTCTGGTTTATTTCTTATATGCGCTGACTTGTTCCCTTGGGGACACATGATTATATGAAGTATTTAATTAGGATATGATTTTCTTCCTGCATGAATGGCTTATCAACTGACAGCAAAACGTCGACCTTTGCTGAGATGATGACTGATGATGCAGAAACATCGCGCGAAGAGAGATGCTTCCGCTTTTGGATGAATAGTCTTGGTATCGATTCGTATGTCAACAATGTTTATGAAGATGTTAAAAACGGGTAACGAGTTCTTTTTGCGTCTAAAATTTGCCAGCAGTATCAAGTGGTGATTGAATCTTCTTTGGTATTCATCCTTTTGTGGCTGCAGATGGACTCTGTTGGAGGTTATGGAGAAAATTTACCCCGGATCGGTTAACTGTAAGCTTGCGAATAAGCCTCCTATAAAGATGCCATTTAAACAGGTTGAGAATTGCAATCAAATAGTACAGATATGCAAGGAGTTGAACTTATCACTCGTCAATGTAGCTGGCAATGATATTGTGGCCGGAAACAAGAAACTTATACTAGGTAACATCTTCCGGCTTCCATTCTTCTCTTTCTTTGTTAAAAGATGAGGCTGTTATTTTCTTCTGTAATACAACTTTAATATTCTCATTTTCTTGTTTTGTTTACCTCACTTTCAGCATTTCTGTGGCAACTGATGAGGTTTTCTATGCTACAACTCCTTAAAAACTTGAGAGCTAAAGAAATTACGGATGCAGACATCCTGAACTGGGCTAACAGAACAGTAAAGCAGGCAGGTCGAAAATCTCAAATGGAGAGCTTCAAGGTAGTACATAAGCAACAAAGAGAGAACCATGTCTTAATATTTCGATTGTAACAGAGATACTGACACACTGGTTTTTACTGGACTATCGCTCTTAGGATAAAAGCCTTTCGACTGGTGTATTCTTCCTCGAGCTTCTTAGTGCAGTGGAACCGAGGGTCGTTAACTGGGGTCTGGTTACCAAGGGACAAACTGGTATGGTGTTATTCCATTATTATACTAATGTGTCATTTTCCTTATGTTATATGGCACTTCTGCAATATAAATAACCTGCCATGGCTGTGCTTTTTGTTGTATCAATAAAGAGGTGTATTGTTTTGTTGTCATTGACTTTGCAGATGAAGATAAGAAGTTGAATGCAACTTATATAATCAGTGTTGCGCGGAAACTTGGGTGTTCCATTTTCTTGTTGCCTGAGGATGTCATTCAGGTATATATTTCCGAAATTCGATAACCATAATCCCTTCTCTATATCTTATCTGATTTTAAATTATTGACGATATCATCCGTGTTATTAACAGGTGAACCAGAAAATGATGCTTACTTTGACTGTCAGCATCATGTACTGGAGCCTACAGAAGCAGGAAGCAGGTAGCAGCAGGAAATGAAAACGTTTTGGATGAGTTATCTTAGCCGACGGAAGGTGAGGCGACAACACCCTCCGGTGAAATGTCCGATTTGGCTGTTGATTCGGTTTCAGAATCCCCTACAGCTGAAGAATAGGATGGTAATGACAAATAACTATAGGGAGCTTTCTAATTCTCTTCCCTTATTCTTTTGCTCGAAAAAACCGGAACTAGAGGGTCTACTTCTAGTTTCTGTTCATTGCTTTTTTGTAGACCACAGGAGAAGAAGAAATGGGACTAATATAAATTTAATATTCGCTGGATTGCGTTGATTATGCTTGAATAATGCATTATATAACATTAGCCTTCTTTCAAATCTTTGTAATAGTCTTAATGGCAAATCCCTGTTGAACAGTGTATATGGAATCAAAACTCAACACTGAATTCATTAGCAAAGAAACTTGAACTGTTTAAAACTGCGTATGGGCTACAAAATTTACATTTTACCTGGTCCTTGGCAATGACAACACGAGTTTTAAGTTCATTCAAGAAATTGTTACTTGTCATCAGTTCTGAGAGAGTTTAGTCTTCTTAGTCTCTGATCAAGCTCTTTCATTACTTCTGGTTCTTGCTTTTTCCTTTGTTTTGATATCGTGTTTGTCGTCATAAAACCGATCTTATCAAACGCAACCTGTAGACGTAACAAGGTCCATGTCATGGGTATATTATAGATTTCCGAATTATGTTTAACAAGGTCAATAGATAACGAGGAAGAAGCATGGAAAGTTATAAGACAAGAAGAATATTGGGAAAGAAAAAAAAACAAAACAAATGATGAATTGTCTTACCGTCAATAACTCATCAGGATCGTAAAGGTGATGGGTAGTTCTTTGTAATATATTAATAACATCGCCAACCTGATGCGTTAGAAGCAACTCATCTTCCTTCATCTGTGCAAAAGCAGATCAAAACCTTTAGTGGTTTTAGGGAAAATGCGTCAAAGTAAGTTCCCGACTTAATTGGAATGTGAAGAGTGAAAAGGTAATGACATTGGTACCTTAAATATAGCCAAAGCTACATGAAATAGAACCTTTGCCCCCTCGTAGAATAGGACATCCCACACCCGCAGAGTTGTCTGGACAAATAGCCCAACAAAGATTAAAAAAAAAGATAGTCCGGACGGTAATGATATATCGTTCTAACCTCTGAAGGCAAGCTTTTAGAAAAGAGGCAAAGGAACCACTCAGTAGCGACGAGGGAGACATCAAATTCCAATGATTCCAAATGAGCAGAAATCCTGCATTTTTGTGATCCGATTTTCAACAAGATAAACTTCAACTTTAATGCATAGCTAAAACATATTGCTTTACATCAAGAAGAGGATAAAGAAACAAATAAAAATAAAATAGTTTAATCCTCAACTACCTTGGGCACTTCTTGGCAAGCAAATCTTTGAAAACCCTTTGCTCAACATGGCATCCAGATAAGTTATTTGTATAGCAGTCATTAACTAAAACATTTTCGAGGAGGACGGCAAGCATCCAAAATGCATCTTCCTCTGTTTTCATAACAAGCAATAGCAATGCAGCAACATAATTTAAGCCCTACACCAAGGCATATAAATTTCAGTGACTCAACAAAGAGCAAAGGTAAGCAAGAAATAAGACATAGGTATCATTGCCACAATCATATAACGGAATTGGATAAAATCACCATCTTCAAATTGTTGAAACCATAAGCGTGTACTTTCATGTGCTGAAATACAAAATGCTATTGTTGATGAACTTCACCTGACAGTAGCCTACATCAGAATCACGAAAAGAATACCCCACAAGCACACGTCGGAGAGTTGCATGGCCCTCTGGAGTGTCTAACCATGGATGACCGGGAAAGGTTCGTGGAAGGTCCTGCAAGTATATATAATAGAAAGGCTCAAACCAGATTTCTCAAAAGTCACAATTCTAGGTTATATCAATCAACAATTTCATGTCAAACCATCACATTCATTGTAATTTTCACAAGTATTTTTCAAAGATTCGGTTGTAATCTTCATCACTAAAGAGAAAATTAAGTGCATTTGGTAAATCCTCGATCCAGTTAGATATCAAACTGAATATAATCCTTGTTCTCAATGATATAAATTCAATTTCAGCATTTTCATCGGCACATGATTTTGATCCTAACCTCTTCCGATTTCACTAGAAACAAACCCTTCCCTCAGCAGATCAAATCCTTCTTATGTGATTTTCCTCAAACAAACTTCTTTCAATTATGAATGGACAAGAATCTTATGTGAATTACACTCCAAAACCCCAATATTAACTTAAGAAACCATCCTTGTATTTAGGTTCATCATCAGATATGTAGTTCCAACTCCAAAGTCATTATGCAAACTCAATCAAATATCCAATTAAAACAACAAACAATTCAATCAAGCAAATGCAAAATAACCCTTGATGTAAGAACTTACATGATCTATCTGCCTTGTAGCAGGTGTGACCTTACCATCTACCGCCTTTGTCAAATCATTATAATAACTTTCAGGCACCGTAGACTTCTTCTTAGCAGCACCAGAAAGCGAAAACCAAACCTTAGGCCTAAGCACAGGGGGAATACCTTTCCTAATAAGCTTCTTCAATGTCATCGAATTAGCCAGAGCTGACAACTTGATTGAAGATTTCAACACAATCACTTCAGATATCGAAGAAATTTGTGGCTGCAAATACCAATTGGCTCCTTTGCTTGCTTCAAGTGCCCACCAAACTCGCCCTTGTTGCCTTACTTTCTCTCTCACCTCATTCAACACATTAACATCGTCCACATTGCCTTCAACAGTGAACCCATAAAGGTCTTCGAATTTCACTGTAAGATTAGCCCTCCTTGTATGGATGCTCGGCCTTAAGATTGGGAATTGTGCTTGCAATTCCAAAGCAAGGTCGGTTTTGCTCCGGGCACCGAACATTTTTTCTGTTTTTGAAAGATCAAGATAGAAAGAAGGAAAGGCTTAATGTGGGTTTTTGTCAAAAATGAGAGAAAGGTACAACCTTTAATTCATGAAAGGGTCAATCTTTTGAAGCTTGCAGCTTTAGGAATTTGAAGAAAGGCTGAGTCATGAAAGTGGGTTTTATTTAAAGAAAAAAGAAAGAAAGAAAGAGGATGAGTTTACAAGCAACGCAGAGAAGAAAACTCTTAACATTTGGATCATATGACTGAGGAAGACAAATGAATTATTAAAAAAAAAACCGGAAATGTGAAAGCTCCAAAAACAAATAATAATTAAAATATCAAAAGTAAAACCCAGAAAACAGATTCTTTTTGTTCAGCAAAATCTTCTTAAAAAAAGGGAGTGAATATTACTATTTTTTCTTATAATTTCCGAAAATCAGAGAAGAAGAACAGTTTGGATAACGGTAAGGTGGGATTAATCTGAGTCCCTCTTTCTCAACAGTAAAAATTACTCCACATTGATCTCTTAACAACATAAAGGAAAAGGAATTGTTTAAGCTTTAAAAAAATAAAAGAAAGTAAAAATGGAAATTTGTTTACGATTTATTAGTTTCTTTCTTTGCTTTGGTTTCTATAAAAACAAAAGTAATGGATGGTTAACTGTGGCTTTGGATTTGGTAAGACATGATGTGCAATACATGGGTAGCGTTAGACTTCAGCATTCAAAAAAAATCCACCTTTTTTTCTTTTACCAAACTATCCTATGCCCGTGACCTTATTTGTACAGTTTACACTTAAAAACAGATAAATTACCCTGTTGGTCCATTTTATTTTTAATCCTTCTTATTTTAGATATCATTTTTGAAAAAAAATAATGTTTTTGATCACTTATTTATTGATCTATTATATTTTAGTCATTAAACCGTTAACTCTCGTTAGTTTAATGACGTGATATGTTGATAAAATAATTCATTTCTAAATTTTTATTTTCTTTATCGTCTTCAAAAAAAATCTCTGAAATTTCATTTTCTCCAAAAACAATCTCTCTTTTCTAACCTTCGTCCTTATTGTTGCATGTCCTTTGTCCAAACCCAACTCATTCGTACCCTCGACATCATTCGTCCAAACCCCACACACCCATGTCATTGTACCTTATGTCGACACCCGTGTCTCTATAATAAATTCCTTGCCTATCGTCTTTATCGTTCATCTAAATTCTAATAATCTCTTGACTCCCTCTACTTTACCATGTTGTGCGTTTAAGGATTAGGGTTACCCGAGCTCGATCGACTACACCTAATCGACTACCTCACATCCCCTACTATAAAGCTCATTGGTTGCCTAGTATCTTGAACCCCTTGATGTCCTATCTCATTTGAACCGCTAGTCACCACTTTGCTAAAATCACAACTCTACTGGATGTCATAGTCGTAACCTCCACTGATGCATCGTCCCCTATCTCTCTCAAATGCCTGACTCATCTTAACCCCTTTGAACAGCGCTTATCGCCCTTACATCTGAAATCTTAGACCCTCACCTAATCCTTGGTAACCTAGGCACTCTAGCGTTGCTCAATTGAACACCCAAACACTCCAATCGATTACATGTGTTTGTTTTCATGTCATCCCTTGTAAACTCATACCCTTTGAACCTCTTACAAATCAACAAAACTTCACTCGTAGTCATAATGATCGATACCATTTATGAATGGTGATGATCTAAGGGCATTGGGGTTTGAGGTTTAGACGAAGGACGTGCAATGAATAAAGGTGTGATAATGAAAATAAGGATGAGGTATAGGGTTGGAGGAGAGATTTTTTAGATAGAGATGGTTTGGTTTTTTTAGATGGGATGAAAAATATTTTTTTAAAAGTTAAGGGGTGAAATTAGAAATTAACATTTTTAAATAACATGCATCATTGAATTAATGGGAGTTAACGATTCACTGGTAAAAAAATAAGACAAATTAATAATATAAATGACCAAATCGTTATTTTTTAAACGGATGATAAAAATAAGATAGGCAGAAAACAAAAAGGATCACCAGTGAAGTTTTCCCACTTAAAAACTGTATGGATGATTGTTGGATGTTATGAGGGATTGAGCTGGCAAAGATGTGGGGCCCCGTGAAAAAGGAAGCTCTCAGGTTCTTTCCTCTTCACAATTCATATCTGTTAACCATCGACAATGTCTCTAACTACGTATATTTCTGTTATAAGATATTTTTAATATATGGTTAAAGAATTTTTTTTATTAAAAATATTAATATTTTTGATAAAATATTATTTAAAATATTAATTTTTATCAAAAATATTAATTTTGTTATCTAATATTTGGTAAAAACAATATTTTAGGTAGAGTCCAATATATATATTTTTTGTAAAAAAAATAATATTTTAGATAATGTTTTATCGAAAACATTAAACATTTTAGGTAGTGTCCAATATTAACATTTTCAGTAAATAATAATATTTTAAATATCATTTTACCAGAAATATTAAAAAATATTAATATTTCTTGTAAAAAATAATATTTTAGATATCATTTTATTAAAAATATTAAAAAAATATTAATATTTACTATTGTACCTTAAACATCCCAACTACGTGTCCCAACTACACCTCCACCTTTATTTAATAATGGCTTGAGTTGATACAGCACAAAATATCATATTTCCTGAAAAAAAAAGTCCTTACGGGAAAGAAAGGCCCACTTAATAAAAAAAATTAAATTAACACTAAAAATGGTTGAAATAAAGAATATGGAGATATTATCAATCTTTTATGGTTCGAAATTATCAATCCCTTTTCCCGCCTAAATGCAGGCTTTATCAGTCGTTCAGTTGTAATGTTTTGAGATTTTGGCCACGATAGTGAGATTTGAGCCGGCCAGGTCAAATACTGTGTTCTTAAGCATAAACAAGAAACTCCAATGCTTATTTCTTTATTTTACTTGTATGCAACTGTTTATTTTATTCAGCATTGTGAATATTAATTTATTAAATTTAAATGAATATTATAAAAAACAATTTTTATAATTCATTTTTTATTTATAATATCAATATTTAAACCTATAACATTATTTGATAAATCTAACATTCCATCCTATAAATTAATTTATAATTAATTGTCCAAACTTGTTTTGTTAAAAGCTATATTATATTAACGTATATACCAATGTGAATATGAACAACTTCATGTTGCGCGAGCTTCACTTCTCTAACTGACCGCTATATCTTGGTAAGCTTATTCGAATAAATATTTAGTTTTTTTTTAAAGAAAATTAAAAATATTTTTTAATTAATATGATTATAAAATAATATTTGTTCATAAAATTTTCAATTAATTGACGATGAGTATATGCATATCTTATAAGTACATATACTCAAATTCTGAACACTTATGAAGAACAATATTAATCACTAAAATCACTTCATATGTTCAAAATTCAAGAAAAATTGGATGAGTATATTAGATAAGAAAAATAAATATAAAAAATTTATTTAATAGTATATAGAAAATATATGATAAATAAGTTTATGTTCAGGTAAAAGGAAAAAATATAGTAAACTGTTAAACATTAACTTAAAGTAATATAAATTATTTTAAAAAATAAAATTGGTAGACCTAAAAAGGTTTGAGTTAATCATTTATAAGTAGGAGTTGACTTTATAAAATATTTAGAGTCAATTATTTTTTTATCACTCATATTTATATTCATATTTTGGTCACTATATTTTAAAATATTTTAATTCAATCATTTAATTTTTAATTTATTTTGATCGATCAAATGTTAAATCCGACGCAATAAAATAACACGGACAATTTATACCGATATGGATTGTTTTTTTCCTCCTTATGTGAAGGTCATTCTACCTCATTTTTCTTCCTTTAATTTTTCCTTGTGATTTCATCTTATTTTTCCATAAAGATGAAATTTGAAAAGTTTTATTCCTATGTTACATTAGTGTCGGAACCACCTTTTTCCAAAGTCTTGTTTAACCGCTGAAGATCACAAAAAGAAGAGTGCAATAATACTTCTGATAGTTCCATGAGATAATAAATCAAGCGACGCGATAGCGAGCAATTCATTAGGAAAAGCATAATTTTATTAATTTTTACTTCCTCTATATAGTAAGGAAGCCTTTTATCCGAGTCGGTAGGATTTGCTAGGCCAATTTATTAAGATAATTGCCCTTTGCAAAGGCTACATTAGCCGCGTAGGAGGATCACCTTCACTCAATCTTCGTTGTTAATCACGGCAGCCTCCTCCTGGTCTCCACCTCCGTAACCTCCACTTCCACTGCCGTATCCACCATGTCCGCTGCCGTATCCTCCATGTCCACCACCGTATCCACCATGTCCGCCATATCCTCCATGTCCACCACTGCATCCACCATATCTTTTACCTTTCCCTCCATGTCCACCACCGTATCCACTATGTCCACTGCCGTAACCGCCGCCGTATCCTCCGCTTCCACTACCGTACGGATGCTTGTCATCTCCAAGCTCAGCGTCGGTTATTTCAGTAGCTTCCTCACCTGCAATAACATATGCGGCATTTATGTAATATGATTGAGAGGGTTATATAAATAAATAGAGAAGGCATGGTAGAGCTGCTGACCATTGTTCACATGGGTGGTAGCTTGAGCAAGGTCTCGAGCTGCCACTTGAGAAGAAATGAGAAGAAATGAGAAGAACAAGAGAAGTTAAAAGAGAAAGGAGAAGGAAACTGTTGGAAATGGAACCCATTTCTGATTTCTTACTTATCAAACTCAAGCTACTTGAAGAACTACACATGCTTAAACCTACGCATTCTCCGTCTCTATTTATAGGCCAAACTCCATAACACTTCACTTCAAAATTATTTGTATTATTTGATATTACCACTTTTATATATTTAGGGTGAAAATGATTTTTTTACTTAATTTTTTTTTAAAAAAGTGACCAATAACGAATATGGTTTGAGTGGTAGAAAATTTATGTGTGGATTATGTTGGTTTAATTCTTAAATAATTTATTTTTAATTATTTTATTTCTATATTAAATAAAATTATAAAATATAAAAAGTGTTATTGTAATAGTGTTAATTGTAATT